GGCCAAGGGCCTTAGCCATCAAATAAGAAAGGTTCGACCTCGATCGAACGATGACGGGTTGTTATTTCGATAAGTTCGAAATCACACCCTTTAAGGTCGAGGGCCTTCGCCATCAAAAAAGAAAGGTTCGACCTCGATCGAACGATGACGGGTTGTTATTTCGATAAGTTCGAAATAATACCCTTCAAGGCCAAGTGCCTTCGCTATCAAATAAGAAAGGTTCGACCTCGATCAAACGACGACGGGCTGTTATTTTGATAAGTTCGAAATAACACCCTTCAAGTCCAAGGGCCTTCTCCATCAAAAAAGAAAGGTTCGACCTCGATCGAACGACGATGGGCTGTTATTTCGATAAGTTCAAAATAACACCCTTCAAGTCCAAGGGCCTTCGCTATCAAAAAAGAAAGGTTCGACCTCGATCGAACAATGACGGGCTGTTATTTCGATAAATTTGAAATAACACCCTTCAAGGCCAAGGGCCTTCGCCATCAAAAAAGAAAGGTTCAACCACGACCGAACGATGACAGGCTGTTACTTCGATAAATCCAAAATAACACCCTTTAAGTCCAAGGGCCTTTGCCAAAAAGAAAAGTTCGACCCCGATCGAATGATGACAGGCTGTTATTTCGATAAAATTCGAAATAACGCGACATGCCGACATTTTGATAAGTTTGAAACGACATCACCAAAGGTCGACAACCAACGGAAGAAAAGAAAAATCGGGACTCGTCAGACGAGCCTCTATCTTGCACCAAAGCCATGAATAGTTGGAATAAAAAGTAAACTACAAGGCAAGTAGCGAAGGAGAGAACTTTTATTTATGCAAAGTCACAGTGCGGGCTACCACCGCTTACATATGGCATAGGCCAACCAATAAAAAAAGAGGAAAAAAAGAAGAAGAAACGAACAAGCGACAGTCAACAAACAAAATAAAAATAAAAACAAAGGACAATATTCTTCATTCGGCGTCATCATCACCACTATCATCACCGTCTTCACGATATCCACCATTATTATCATCCGCACCCAAATGGCTTTGGGCATCGCCACGTCGTATCCATAGTTAATGCGAGCCTCACGAGCTTTCGCTCGTGCTTCTTCATAAGTAGCCTCGGCCACGGTGCCCGCTTCCCACAAATTCTTATATATGTCACTATGGGCAAACCCAGAGCTCATGCATTTGGTGAGTAATGACAGCAGAAGATGACTCAACCTGGGCCTATAATCGCTCATTCTCTGCCTCCAAGGCTGCGACCCGATCTCCCAGAGTCGACGCCTCCTAATCAATCGTACCGATGTGTTCCTCGAGCCTCGTTTCCTTAAAGGTAGCTATCGCTCTCTCTGACTCCTGTTCAGATTGGAGTATGCAGATGGTGTCCTTCAGGGCCGCTGCCCTCACCAAAGCCTCAGACCAAGCTCTCTCGATGTTCTCCAAATCCGCGACCTTGCTCTCCATCGTGGTCAATTTTCTCATCCACTTCGTGCTCATCGCCTCGACCTTGACCAAGTTCTGGTCCATCTCTGACTGCATTGACCTCAACCTGCCCTGCAAATGCTCACACTCTGTCGCGATCCCCTTACCCAACTCGAGCTCATCATCCTTAATGCGGAGTTTCTCCTTGAGTTCGCTCTTGCTATGAATTGCCTGCATCGATTCCTGGTCCCTTTTCTCCAACTCCTCACCAAGATCCCGATTATGGGGGTTCGCTCTCAACCGCTCGTGCATCTCGCGACATCTATCACGGTAGCGATGCTATTTCTCCAGCATCTTCAGGAAAACCCTTGCCCGGATGTTAGCCCTACGAATACTTTCCAATTCCACCATGTATGTATGGAAATCATAAAGACGGGGTTAAACTAGAACTTTCGAAAAGGGGGAAAGCATAAAGCGAAAACAAAATGCAACATACCCTTAAGCCCATGACGGCAACCTCATCCCTCAACTCAGCATCGGGACATCCCGAAGGGACTCATTCTCAGCTTCTGAGCATAACAGGCTGAATTATGGCACCAGATCCTCTCCTTCCGCCAAGAGGTTAATGCCTGAAGAGATCTGAAGAATACGGTTCGAGCCCCCCGCATTAACCACCGAATGAGTAAGGCTCTCCTCGAACATCCTAATATCATCGGGGTCCAGGTCTGACTCATATTCATACTCGTCAACCACCGTGCCTTTTCCCCTTTCCGCTACTGAAGGAGGGGCACGACCCACTGCAGAATATGAGGGTACGTCTGAAGTCACAACAGCGGCGCCAAAGGTCTGGTTCTCTATCACGACAAGATGTTGATCATCAGTAACAACAGTTACTTCTGATTGAGCCAAGACGGCGGCGGGAGTTTCAGACTGCTGATCATGGGCGCCGACAACTTCAATGGCTTGCTCTGCCCCTATGGGGGGAGCTGCAATAACACCCTGTCCTGAGCCCGTCGGGGGAGAATCGTCCAGGCGAATCACTGTTGGGGGTGCCGCCTCAAACTCTACTCTTCATCTCTTCGACGGCCTCTCCTCCTCTCCAGTAGACGGTGACTCATTCGTGGGACGAACGACATTGGTCAGGACCTCGTCCTGAGAAGCGGCCCTCGCTGGAGTAACCAAGGCATGGATTCGACAGAAGCAGCCCTCGATGAAGGTCGTGCAATGTATACGGCGATAGGCCAAGCATATGCGGTCGGGGCAGAAAGCTATTTGAGGTGCCCTTACTCTCCGCACCCTCCCTGACAACGACGAACAATGCTTGAGAAGCTAAACAAAAAAAAGAGAAGAGAAAAGGACGGTACATAAAGGCGTCATCTCACCTGTGAGGGGCCAGCGTCCGAACCTCTCATGAATAGCCGACCATGTGCGAATTCCCACTTTATGGGGAAGAATGGCCTCCACCCATTCACGAATCCCTTCGACGGGAAACAGGGGTAATCTCTCAGTTGCAAAGACGAGTCAGTTTGGTACTCAAGGAAAACGATAAAGCATTTCATTGAATAAAGGTGCAAACTTACGTGCGAAGTTCTATCTCTCAGGGAATCCCATTGGGTCTGCCACAATTTGTTCGGTCTGCACATAAAAGTACGGTTGGTCTTGTCGTCCATTTTTACCACCAGACTCCTCGACCCCCGAGGACGCATGTGGATCATCGAACCACGGATCAGTTGAGGAGCAAAGATGTTGAGCATATGGTCCAAGGTGACCACACGACCGGCAAGGTCTGCATACTTGAGCAGCATAAGGAACAACTTGTACAGATAAGGTGAAAGTTGGGCGGGGCACACTTCGTAGAAATGGAAAAAATCCACCACCAACATGGGAAGAGGAAGTGTGTACCCTACAATGAAGGGGTAAGCATAGAACACGCAGTACCCAGGACGGTCTAAGTGAATTTTGTCGTCCCCCTCCAACGGCCGTATCTCGATGTAATTGGGGATTCCCCACCTTTTCCTCAACTCTACGATTCCCCTTTCTCTCAAAATGGAAGCGACAGGTTCCGGCTCCGCTCCACCACCAAAACTAAAGTCAGTCACCTCCCTCCCGGGGTAAGGCAGGATATCAACCATCGAGGGAACCTCCTCATCCTCCACCGCGTCCACCCCTCCGGTAACCTGAACAGAACTCTCTGGTACTGGATTAGTGGCAGGAAGATTGTCGCGGGAAGAATCACCGGTCATTTTTTAGCAGAGAGTGCACCGAAAGAAGTAATAAGAAGAAGAGATGAAATATTTCAGTGAGCAAGGAGGTGAGCAAAAATTCAAGGTGTCAAAAAAAGCTATATCTGAAGAACTCACTCAAACGAAAGATGAAGTGAATCAATCAAATGACAAGTTCCCTCTATTTATAAGAGACATAAATTCCCCGAGCAAGAAACCCAAGAGTCGTCATTCAAATCTGATAAGGCACGAAACATTTTAGTTTCCCAAAAATGTATGTCACAATGGTGTTAACCACGAACCGGCGCTTCAGTACCAATCGACGTTTCGGTTCCGAATTCGCCGCAACGGTCCGCGAGGACTGAGAAAACCCCACCATTTCGTTAAAAATCCCCAGGACACAAGTAAAGAACGGAAAGTCATAGGCCAGATTTCTCTCGACTGCGTAACGAGCATGATCCGTCTGTCGAGGCCGACGTAGGACGACCCCGACAAACGAAGGGACTAACTGTATTGGTCAAAATCTGACCTTCACGACCAGGTCGCCCAACACCCCGCGCCTAGTAACTGTACAATGAAAGTCAATAGAGCCTACTCCATTTCTCCTCTGCGACATTCGAAAAGTTAAAAAGAGTAATGTTTAAAAACAAGACCAAGATACACTGACGACAAGAAAGCGTCAAGTCAAGAAATGGGTAAAGAGGTCTCGACTATATATAGCCAGAGAACTCTTAACAAACAGGGGTGGCTTCGCCATTCTCCCAAAAAAGAGGACAAAAAGTTTCTTCCTTGTATTTTAGAAAACACAGGAAATGATCTCAATGAACACCTGTAAATCTACTTTCTCATTAGTGGGTAAGGTAGACAATGTTAAATCTGAATAAGATCGATCATGTTTCTTTGGTATCATATGCATCCATTATTATTAACGTTTCGATATGGAGTTAATTATCTTTGGCTAAAATTTACCCCTTCATCTTTGATTGATTTGTTCAAAAGAGGTTTTAACATCTTTTGAGTCAAACAATTTGGGTGAGGTAGGCAATGTTAAATCTGAATAAGATCGATCATGTCTCTTTGGTTTCATATGCATTCATTATCATTAACGTTTCTGTCACACCCCAACCTTGGGAGGTGTGGCTGGCACCCGATGCCGAAGGCCCGAGCGAACCNATATATAAACTAGGCCAACAAGGCTGTAATAACAGTATAACAGCTATCCAGAAGGCCGATAGGGCGATACAAAAATTATATATATACAATGATCGCTAGTCTGCAAGCCTCTAAGAGTGTAAGACAATATCAACAGGGCGGGACTAAGCCCCCGACACGCCCAAAACCACACATATACATATGTAATAGTACCTATGGACTCAAAGTCAGCAACTCCGAAGAAGTGGAGTGCGAAACCCAACGCTGATCCTGGGGGTCCTACTGAGGAGGCACGCCGCTCTGTCTATCCGAACCTGTGGGCATGAACACAGCGCATAAAAATGCATCAGTACGAAATATGTACTGAATATGTAGGGCGACAAGTGTAACATGAAAAAAGTAATTAACAAGAGAAGAGATATAAAGACAATTTGAATTCTGAAACTAGCCTCGGTAGGAAACAAAAATTCAACCTGGATATAAACGTATGCTCGTGAAATCGTCATTCACTATCGCTACTTATAATATATCACATTATATAATAATAAATCCCTCTGTGGGGCTATAATATCCATAACATACCCGGCCATAATAAAGGCTCGGTAGAATCGTACCCGGCCACGTGAAGCTCGGTAATCCCAACTGATCAGTGGTTACACAATATGTGTCATACCCGGCCGTCTATAGTGCGGCTCGGTAATGAAAGTAAATACATACATATACTAAATCATGAATTATATAGGTGCAATGTGAAACCAACCTTAAAAGACGTATTCTAAGAAGAGTCGAAGTGGTTTATCATCATTATTCCTCGACTATCATGGTTGTTGCTAAAATATTTAATTTTCAACTACGAGCCAACAAGTACTAAGAACATGAGAGTTATGTATTATGAATACCTTTGAAGTAAGTGTTCCTTATTCATGATTTATATGAATGTCGAAATGAGAACGAGTAAAAAGGCTCTAGTTCTTTTTAAACAAGGAACAAGGAAAACCGAGAATTTATAGATATTCTCTGAAGTAAGCACTCTATAAGAAAGGATCAGGTCTAAGCATCTTTATAAGTTGAAGGTGAAATAACTCGAATCCGACGAAACAATTCGATAAACATTTATTCGAATTCTAGTCATGCCGAAAAGTATAGCGAAAGCCCTACATACCTTGTCGATGGAGTTATATACTGTTTCCGAGACCTTGAAAGCCTTAGGAATGATTTCCTACATAATAAGAACCATTCAAAATCAAATTCAAGCTCATAGCTTATATAATTCTTCATTTAGACATTTACGCGAACAACTTGTGGCCATGAATTTGTAGACTCTTTTGTAGATTAATTTCCCCCCAACACACCACCAAATTTTACTTTACTACATCTACTCATCAACAGAATTCCATCCATGTCTTCACAGATCCAAACAACACAATAAAATCATATAGAACAACCCCAACATTCAAACCATATTAAGAGAGGTTTCTTAAAAAAAAATCAAGAATATTTCTATAGAGGTTTCAACTATTTCTTAAGAATTCTTACGGTAGAAGTTTACAAAGATCAAAGAGGAAGTTAAATCATACCTTATGTGACCAGAATTACTCAAAATTCGAAATTACTTCAAGGCGGAGTCTTGCTATGAAAAGTGAAACACCGAAGAATTCACGATTCCGAAGCTACCATGGTGTTCTCCATCTTGAGGATGACTAAATTGTTGTTATGCTTGGCTAGATGGATGGGAGAAGTTTGAGAGGAAATCCCTAGGTTTTTGGTTCTGTTTTGGAGAGGATAAAACGCAGGGGTTCTGTTTTAAAAATTGACTTAAATAAAGAAATTTTGACTAAACCCGACTAGGCACACTGTTCCCGTAACAGTGTGCACCCCTGTACGAAAATGTTAATATCTCTCTACTCCGAAGTCGTATTAACGAACGGTTTGTTGCATTGGAAACTAGACTCATAGACCTTCAATTAGGTAGGTAGAACATACCATAACTCCAAGTATATCTAGAGAAAAGCTCATCAACATTTTATCCAAATTCCAGTGAAATTTAAACCCATAACTTGCGCGCGATCTTTGTCGAATTTTTAGTCACAACTCAAATGACTTCCAATCTTAACGTATAACTATCGCATCATTTAAATATCTCATAGAAATTATCTTCCTATCGAATTAGCCCATTTACAGCATGATAACTCCGAATACACAAGGTGTAACATTCTCCCCTCCTTAAGAACATTCGTTCTCGAATGTTAACGGTTAACCTAACTTCTGAATTTTTTATTTTTTTTTAAAAAAAATATTTGCCAGAGTTTTCCCTATAAATAGGAATATCCAAAACCTGTCATCAGCCCAAACATACATATCTAAGGCCACACAGGGCTACACATCATAATAATAACATCAACTTGGCCTCACACGACCATTTACTTATACAATAATGATAATAAGAAGGTTAGCCATAACTTAATTATCTCAACTGTCACTGGTTGATATATGTGCAACACCTGCCATATTTGTCTCAAGCATATCACCTGAAGACTCAAATAAATGAGAGTATCTGGACTTCATGTCCTCCTCGGCCTCCCATGTCATTTCCTCTACATTATTGCTCCTCCAAAGTACTTTTACTGAGGCTACCTCTTTAGTCCGTAGCTTACGGATTTGACGGTCAAGAATGGCAATAGGTATTTCTTCATATGACAAGTTCTCGGAAACTTCAATATCCTCGATAGGGCTGATGCAAGAAGGATCACCTAAGAATTTCCGAAGCATGGAAATGTGAAATACCGGATGGATTGCTTCTAATTCTGGTGGCAGGTCAAGTTTGTAGGCTACTCGCCTAATTCTCTGAACAATCTGATATGGCCCAACATATCTAGGGCTGAGTTTTCCTTTCTTACCAAATCTCATTACACCCTTCATAGGCGACACTTTCAAGAATACCATGTCTCTCACAGCAAATTCCAAGTCTCGATGTCGGTTTTCTGAATATGATTTCTGTCGACTTTGAGCTGTACGCAACCTTTCCTGGATCAACTTTACCTTTTCTACAGCTTGTTGTACCAATTCAGGTCCTAGCAACTTTGTCTCTCCAACATCAAACCAGCCAATAGGAGATCTGCATTTCCTCCGATATAGTGCCTCATAAGGTGCCATCTGAATACCGGCGTGATAACTGCTATTGTAGGCAAACTCAATAAGCGGTAAATGATCTTCCCAACTTCCCTTGAAGTCTAAGACACAAGCTCGCAACATATCTTCGAGTGTCTGAATAGTGCGTTCGGCTTGTCCGTCAGTCTGCGGATGAAATGTTGTACTAAGGTTAACAAGAGTACCCAAATCTTCTTGAAAAGACCTCCAGAAATTAGCTGTAAATTGGGCACCTCTGTCAGATATAATAGAAAATGGAACTCCATGTAGCCAAACTATTTCCTTGATATACAGGCTCGCATAGTCTTCAGCTGAATAAGTGGTCCTAACTGGGAGAAAGTGAGGTGATTTCGTCAGCCTATCCACAATGACCTAAATAGAATTGAACTTACGGCGAGAATTGGGCAATCCTGTAATGAAATCCATATTAATCGATTCCCATTTCCAAGCTGGAATCTCAATATTTTGAAGTAGCCCTCCAGGTTTCTGGTGTTCAGCTTTAACCTGCTGGCAGTTGGGACACTGAGCCACAAATGTGGCTATATCTTTCTTCATGTCGTTCCACCAGTATAGTGAGGAAGATCATGATACATTTTGGTTGAACCAGGATGAACTGAATATCGAGACTGGTGCATCTCTATCATAATTTGCTTACGAAGCTCCCCAACATTAGGTACACACCATCGGCCTTTATATTTTAGAATTCCATCATCAGATTGCTCGAACAACTGCTTCTTCTGAAAAGGGATACTCTCTTTAATTTTGACTAACTCCGGATCCTCAAATTGACGCATTTCTACCTCAGCTACCAGTGATGACCCCGCAATATTTTGGACTACTACACCCTGGTCACCTGTATCATGTAGCCGTACACTCAGGTTAGCCAATTGATATATCTCTTTAGTCATTTCTAATTTCCCAGCTTCTACATGCTTCAAGCTGCCCATGGATTTGCGACTCAATGCATCAGCTACCACATTCGCTTTGCCCGGATGGTACAAAATATCCACATCATAGTCCTTCAGCAATTCAAGCCATCTTCTTTGTCTCAAGTTCAAGTCTTTCTGCTTAAATATATATTGTAAACTTTTGTGATCTGTATAGATATCCACATGAACACCATAAAGATAATGACGCCATAT